GTGCGGGGTAATTATTTGCATGATTAAGTTTTTTAGTCTAATTATCTTGGAGAATGTCAAGAATGCACTTATAGGAACACCAGACTTGTACTCCTGACCACCCAGCTGACAGAGGTCACAAGATATCCATTGCTAAATTCACTGCTTATGTTGTTAATCAGTCGACTGTATGATATGGGAGGATACACATATACACATTTTGGATTTAAAGAGAGGAGGAAATTTATTGATTGTTGCAAACAAACAAAAGTAACAAAAGATTTTCAAATTTTAAGATGTTCATTATATACAAGCAGCTTTTGTCTTTTCTTGTTTGATGTCAGTCTCAAGCATCACTTCAAGCAGTTTCTTCATTAAGGCGAAAGGGCATCTTTACTGACTGAAGTGTTGTAAAATCCTTTGCAGTATTCATTTATTTCTTCTTTAAAACCTTATTCTTTAAATTCTTCAAAACAACACTTTTCTTTTTGTATTTTGTCAATGCATAATCTTCAACAATGTGTACAGATGAGTTATAATTATGAAATATGACACTTGATAAATTATTGATCTGATATTGGTGACAGGCTGTTGGTCATATTGGTTTAACTGAAACAGCTATTAACAAGTTACAAATATTTTGTTTTTATCAAATGGTCATATTGACTCATGATTTCAAAACAACACTTTGGGTTAATACTGATTTTAGCACTTAGCACAGTTCTCAGGGGTGGGGTGGGGTGGGGGTTTAGCCTGGTGGTTAAAGTGTTTGCTTTCGTCCACGCCAGAAGACCTGGGTTCGATTCCTCACATGGGTGCAATGTGTGAAGCCCATTTCTGGTGACCTCCACCATGATATTGCTGGAATATTGCTAAAAGAGGCGTAAAACTAAACTCACTCATTCAGTTCTCACTCTTATGTATAACCGTGAAGGTCCGGGTTAGAATATTGATCTTCAGCAACCCATGCTTGTCGTAAGAGGCGACTAACGGGATCGGGTGGTCAGGCTCGCTGACTTGGTTGACACATGTCATCGGTTCCCAAGTGCGCAGATCAATGCTCGTGCAGTTGATCACTGGATTGGATTGTCTGGTCCAGAGCTGAGTGCTGGAATAAGTCGGGTAAAACTAAACTTACTCACTCACTCTTATGTCAGCTTTAAGTGTGAGCATAGCAGGTGAAAGTTTACAGCTGGTTCATAGCATGACATCATCAAGGCAGGAACTGTTCCTCATGACATCAATCACTGGTTCGCTTGTCCAGATTGTTTGCAGGACATTATAAATTTGTTTAATGTTTTAAACAAATTTGGGGGGTGACCTAATTTTAATTTTCATCATCCACAACAAAAGATGATTTTGAAATCTAATGATTTAAGATATGGATGAGAAATGACATGCTGCACTTTTTATCTTCCTGATATTTTTGTTTACACTTATCACCGTAAAAAAAGACACTCCATCACACAAACACTAAAAGAACTTTAGTCTACATACATTATATTATGAAACAATGATAATGATAAAAGGCTAGCCGATAGGTGACTGTAATACACATGGAATATTGACTTGTGTGACATTTAAACAACCAACAAAAACAATATTCTTTTCTTGATATGACAGAAATTTAGATGGAGTATTTTAAACAATTTTTTTTATAAATAACTGAATACAATTATGATAAAGAACTGAAAACACTTTGAACATTAGATACAACTGGTTGATAGCATGACATCTTACCAGTAAGGCATTACTTGTTGCTCATGATATCAATCATTAGTTCACATGTCCGGATTTGATTGTATATAGGTAACTATAATACACATAGAATTTTGACTTGTGTGGCATTTACACAACAAGCAAGAACAATATTATTTCTTTTATAAGACAAAAAGTTTGATGGAATTCTGTTGTTTTTTTTATAAATAGCTGAACACAGTTATGCTAAAGAACTGAAAACTTTTTGATTCCTTGTCTAATATTCTAAGTGATATGTTCTTTTTGAAGGATAATTGAAAGATATAAAATATAAACTTGAAAATGATGACATTAAAATCCCCCCAAATTTAGGTCTAAGCAGGCAGTTTTGCCGAGTTATAAAGATAATTTAAAAAAAATAATTATAAATAGCTGAATACAATTATGATAAAGAACTGAAAACACTTTGATTTCTTGTTAAACATCCTAAGTACTGTGGTGTGTTCTTTTGGAGAGATGATAGTAAGATATGAATATAAACTTAAAAATGATGACATTAAAATCCCCCCAAGTTTGGGTCTAAGCAAGCTCACCATAATTTTTACTGAGTTGAAAAGCATGGCAATCCATTGTGTATTTGCCTCCCGTGTTAGCGGAGTTTTTTCTTGTTAGATCAACAGGAGTGTATTTGCTGTTTGTTCGCAGAAAGATGTGGGAGAATGCAGGGTCGTAAATAGCACCTCGACCCGGTTCTGTTGACGACAGTCGGATAAGGACATGCAACGGGCTGTTATAATCAGACTGAACCGAACCCATCTTTAGAAGTTCTGTTTTGTATTTAATGAAGACAAACTTTATGCCGAGTATTTGTTTGTAGTTGTGGGACTTCTTGTTGTCTTTGTGATGAAAGATAATTGACATATGTTTATGTCTGAACGATGTCAGTTTCACAAATCAAATCATATAGTCAAGTTCCGACGGGGTATGAACAATTATAATGGCTTCAGCTCTTTTGTATGTTTTGTGTCAATAATCAGCTCCTCAAGGGTACCTGTCCCTCTTGCATCATGTCATGAGGATAGTAATGCTATCAGGGCGGTGGGGTAGCCTAGTGGTTAAAGCGTTCGCTTGTCATGCCAAAGACCCGGGTTTGATTCCCTACATGGGAATAATGTGTGAAAGCCCATTTTTGGTGTCCCCCGCCATGATATTGCTGGAATATTGCTAATAGTGGCGTAAAACGAAACTCACTGATAACGGTAAAACTAATTATAAATATTTTAATAATCGCCTTAATTGTGTTTAATTCCCATCCTTTGTATAAATGCACATGCTATGTTTGACATGCATAGGGTGATGCTTAAATCAACTTTCTTCATTTTAAAAACAACAACACATCAATGTTACAAATGAATAATGATAAATGTTATTATTGATTTATGTATTTAGGTTATGATTTATGTATTTAGGTTATGATTACTTGTTGAAAGAGGTGATTAAAACTATTATGATATTGCTTCAGTATTACTGTACTTTATGATCATTCATTCACTCACTCACCAATACTTACTCTCATTCATTCACTCACTCACCAATATTTACTCTCATTCATTCACTCACTCACCAATACTTACTTACTCTCATTCATTCACTCACTCACTCACCAATACTTACTCTCATTCATTCACTCACTCACCAATACTTACTCTCATTCATTCACTCACTCACCAATACTTACTCTCATTCATTCACTCACTCACCAATACTAACTCTCATTCATTCACTCGATCACCAATACTTACTCATTCATTCACTCACTCACCAATACTATCACTCATTCATTCACTCACTCACCAATAGTTACTCTCATTCATTCACTCACTCACCAATACTTACTTTCAATCATTCATTCATTCACTCACTCACTCATACTTACTCTCATTCACTCACTCACTCACTCACACACACATACAATGATACAAAGAGGCATTTGGGCTAGATTTGGGCACAAATCAATATTGTTAATAAGACAAATAATTTGTTATACGGTCCCCGTGAGGAACCAGGTGTTATTAGTTGCAATTAAATCTTTCATCTGCTGTTGTATATTTCACATGACCATGTGACACATTGTTGAAATTGACAGGGTGAGGTATTGGTTTGTGGAATTCAGAGAGGCCAAAACAACCTTCAACCTTTTCTGAATAGACCATTTGTTTACATCTGGCTGCATATTCATTTAGATGACCTGTATTGTGATTTGGTTATTGTTTTGTTCATTATCTTTCTTTTTTGGTATAACCAGGAATATTTTTATCTTTGACTTTGTTAATGTCCTGTTTGTCTTTTACTTCACCAAACATATTGCTATCATTGATTTGGTCTACCTTTCATTTTATCAGTTGTAGTAATGTGCGTTTCGTTTTACGCCACTTTTAGCAATATTCCAGCAATATCATGGCAGGGGACACCAGAAATGGGCTTCAAAATGTGGGGAATCAAACCTGTGTCTTCGGGGTGACAAGCGAGCACTTTAACCTCTAGGCTACCCAATCGCCCTCATAGTTTATTCTTTGATTTCTTCCATTACCTTCCCTCCATCTGTGATTTGGTCTATGAAGTTTCCTGTCTCTACGTTTACGTGCATCAGTGCTTTGTGTATTAATACTGTATTAAAACTAGTGTCCGTGCTGTGTGGCAATTAAAACAGTGTAAATATGTTTCTGACTTTGATGACATTGATCACTGGATTGTCTGGTCCAGACCATATAGCTGGGATATTGTTGAGTGTGGCATAAACAACAAACTGCTCATGATGTTGATCACTGGATTGTCTGGTCCAGACTTGATATTAAGAGACAACCAGCAAGAAATATTTTAAACATTCCTTTTAATATCAATCACTGTCCAGTCTTGATATATTTTCTGGCTGCCATCAGCTGGAATATTGCTGAGAGCAGCATAAACAACAACAAACAACGCTTCACCTCACTTGGTACATATGCCAGTATGACTCATTCCACTCGTGATGTATTACAAAGCATGAAACCACATTTTTGTCCCTGTAACTGTCACAGCGTAACCAATGTTATTGTCGAGGACAGTTCAACTGCCGTTTGTATGACTGATTTAAACAAATATACACAATCAACCCTGTGGCATTTTATAAACATAAAACTTATCTTCCACGGCTCTCATCAGTGTCAATGTCACCCCACTATTGACGATGACAACACATGGCCAAAGCGGCAACAGCTGTTTTGCCCCATGAGTAGTCCCAGGTAGAGATATTGATTATGCGATGTCTATTGCAAATATCCTACGTGGGTTGTATATAGCATAGAGACATGCATTCGGAGAGATTGTTTGCTTCTGTCATGAAGTAACATCTCATGAAATGTATTTGTGTATATTTCTGAGAAAATGAAATTGACGATGCACGGATTATAGATACAAAGATTGATTGTGTTTCAAGGAAATAGGACAGATGCTGTGCCCGGAATACCAGAAGTTGTCAAGTGATCAATGGATTGTGAATCATTCCTTTTAATATGCGGTTTATATTACAATGAAATTGACAAGATTATATTTCAGGTTTGGATGTGTGGTTTAATTTGGGAGCTGTCATCGTATTCGTGTTGGGTGCTGAAGCCTGGAGGTTGTGTTGTGGTTTGCAGTAAGGTTGTATATTACTGAAATGTACAACATAACAGACTGATGGGATATATGTGACGGATGTTACACCAACACCTTCGTCGGATAAATGGATTACCGTGGTGAATTCAGGTGACGAAAGTCTGGATTTCATTGTTGAAATGTGTCTAGGTGTTTGTGGTCTATTTCAAAGTTGTCATCTTTCCAGCAGTGGCATTGACTTCAATTTAGTGACAGAATTGTGACATGGACGTCATATCAATAATATTCAGGAAGAGATCACATACAGGAGGGTAACAAAGATACGGAATTCTTGCGTTATATTCCGAGCAAATGAAAACAATCCAGATATGAAGTAAACAACCAAGGCAATTATGTCGCCTATATGAGTCAGTGACTGACAGTGGTTAAACCATGAAGTATTGGAATCTGAGAGTTTTTTCAATTATATAAGATCATCGTCACTGATGTTCTAACGAAAAGGCCAAGGCTTTGTGATTGTGAAACCGACATGGCCATCAAATCTATTTCAGATCCTCAACTGGAACTAGGTTGAACAGCGAGATATGCCATAAACACAAAATCCTTTGATAATACACCTACCTTGCAACAATGTTATAGACAACTGTCGTCTATTTGGTATTGTTGTTCATTTCAATGCTGAATGCTTGAAGGGAAGAGACAACAGTATAGAAGTCTACATTATTACTGCCCCACAATGACCTTTCTGGGTTATGAATTAGTCCAGTGACGTTGTGTACAATTGTCGTCCATTTCGGTGAAATGTACATCACAGCCTGTCTGTCACCGAGAAATGTACAACCCCTTGAATTAGCCTGATAGTGAATAGGAGGAAGGTCAGCAGAATCTTGACAGAGCAAACTTAGGCAACTGGGCTTTACATACCTCTACAAATACGTTCTGTTTGATTTACACTGCGGATGGTTACGTTGGGTGGCTTTATTTACCCAATTTAGACTCTTTTTGCTGGAGAGCTGCATCAGTTAGACGCTGTTTGAAGTTTCTTTCTGTGTCTATAGTTTTATTATTTTGTGTACATGATTGGAGATGTTTCTATCCCCGACAAGATTTGAAGAAATTGACGACGATCATGAAGAAACAGAATTCTGGGAAAATCCGCTGGAGATTCGTACATCAGGATTTGTACCGCTTCATTTTGTGCCGTTGGTGTGTGTTGTACAATAATCTTGGAAATGTATCAGTATTTTTATTACTTTTTATATGAAATAGTTAAACATTTCAATTGCATTTGTTTATTTGATGGCAGATTATGCATATATGTACAATCTAGCATGCTGAGATAGATCTGATGTTATTGTGGGAATATAGCTGAGGTCAGAGGGTACCTTATGGTCGTAAATTGTGACATTATTTTGTAAACACGCATGAGTTGTGATGTGAGGGGTTGACAGGGTTGAGAAGAAATACCTCATTTAGGAGGTATTCTGACATTTGGGAAAACTGTTTCAAGCTTAGGGCCCAACCTTCAGACAAACAGACTCTTTGCTGTTTTAGACTTGTGACAGGCTTGTTAGTTTCAGATGCAGATCGCTTGAGATTATTGGAGAAATATTTCCTGAAGAAAGCATTTTCTTTGTCATGTGGACAAACATCTTGGAGTTTGCTTGAGGACATAGAAATTGATGACATCTGTCAAATATGGATAACGACTTCAGATTAACAAACTTCAACATGCATGTTGTTAATTTCATTCATGGATGGAAAGGATTTTGTCAACAACGTTGGATCTAATCTAGTATTTCATGTTGATTGCTCTAAATATTTCCAGTGGATAGTCTTAAAATTTATTTAGGTATTATTCTGACGCATATTAAAAATATCAATGACTTCAACTGGAAAAATACTGAATGATTTAAAGATTTATGAGTCTTTCAAAATTGAATATTTGAAGAAAAACTGAATGATGAGTGACTTATCAACAGGAATATTCATGAATTTTGCCTACATGAAAACTTGACTGACAAGGTGGAATTGATTTACTCTTGTCAGTCAGCCATGATTGTTCTTATACCTGAATTTTAAATTTTTAAAAATTGTGTACATTTCAACATTGAGTGTTGTCCATATCAGTCACTCAAGCGAAGTCTTTGAACAATGAATGGTTTACACGACCACGATCTGTTTGCTGGATACCCTTGAACGATGTCAACAACCCAATTGTCGGCTTTGTACATGCAGATTTGCAGGTTTGTAATGGACAAATGCTTGTACACCTTGGTGGAGGAAGGTATTTCGGTCCCTGTCATTCCGTTTGTTTCTTGCTTTTCTGTTACATTTCATTTTGAGTTGATAGACACTGACGAGCAGTATGTGGAATCTGGTCTTTGTGGTGGTGACTTCTTGATCTCTTGACCTGGTTTAACTGTAATTAATGGTTTTGACAAAGAGAAGTGGTTTATATAATTTTCTGTGAATTGTTACTTTTTTATTTGTAGAATGATTTTTAATGATATTTGTTATTTGGATCATTTGTTATTTGGATCATTTTGTGGTTTGTTTTACAGATGAGCCTACCCAACATATTTAAATATTGTATATGAATATCATGGTAACAATCTGTTTAAATGAAATATTTGGCAATTTGTCTGTCAAGAGTTTTGGTAGTCATTTAAACTGAAGTCAGCCCTGACTTGTGGCACGATAAGGAACATGGTGACTTAAGCATCTATATAGTCCATGCGACTTATGTGACATAACATCTATATGATCCATGTGACTTGTGTGACATAACATCTATATGATCCATGTGACTTGTGTGACTTAAAATCTCTATGATCCATGTGACTTGTTCGACATAACATGTATATGATCCATGCGACTTATCTGACATAACATCTCTATGATCCAGGTGACTTATGTAATGTTATCATCTCTATGATCCATGTGATTTACTTGACATAACACCTATATGATCCATGTGACATATGTGATGTTATCATCTATATGATCGATGTGACTTATGTGACAGGACATCTCTATGATCCATGTGACTTATGTGATGTTAACATCTATATGATCCATGTGACTTATGTGATGTTAACATCTATATGATCCATATGACTTGTGTGACATAACATCTATCTCATCCATGTGACTTATGTTACATAACATCTATATGATCCATGTGACTTAGCTGACATAACATCTATTTGATCCATGTGACTTATGTTACATAACATCTATTTGATCCATGTGACTTATGTGACATAACATCTATTTGATCCATGTGACTTAGCTGACATAACATCTATTTGATCCATGTGACTTATGTTACATAACATCTCTATGATCTATGTGACTTATGTTACATAACATCTATTTGATCCATGTGACTTATGTTACATAACATCTATATGATCCATGTGACTTATGTGATGTAACATCTATTTGATCCATGTGACTTAGCTGACATAACATCTATTTGATCCATGTGACTTATGTTACATAACATCTATATGATCCATGTGACTTATGTTACATACCATCTATCTGATCCATGTGCCTTATGTGACATAACATCTATCTGATCCATGTGACTTATGTTACATAACATCTATATGATCCATGTGACTTAGCTGACATAACATCTCTATGATCCATGTGACTTATGTGATGTTAACATCTATATGATCCATGTGACTTAGCTGACATAACATCTATTTGATCCATGTGACTTATGTGACATAACATCTATCTGATCCATGTGACTTATGTGATGTTAACATCTATATGATCCATGTGACTTGTGTTACATAACATCTATCTGATCCATGTGACTTATGTTGCATAACATCTATTTGATCCATGTGACTTATGTTACATAACATCTATCTGATCCATGTGACTTAGCTGACATAACATCTATCTGATCCATGTGACTTATGTGATGTTAACATCTATCTGATCCATGTGACTTATGTTGCATAACATCTATATGATCCATGTGACTTATGTGACATAACATCTATCTGATCCATGTGACTTAGCTGACATAACATCTATCTGATCCATGTGACTTATGTGATGTTAACATCTATATGATCCATGTGACTTATGTTACATAACATCTATTTGATCCATGTGACTTATGTTACATAACATCTATTTGATCCATGTGACTTATGTGACATAACATCTATCTGATCCATGTGACTTATGTGATGTTAGCATCTATATGATCCATGTGACTTGTGTTACATAACATCTATTTGATCCATGTGACTTATGTTGCATAACATCTATTTGATCCATGTGACTTATGTGACATAACATCTATCTGATCCATGTGACTTATGTGATGTTAACATCTATCTGATCCATGTGACTTATGTTGCATAACATATATTTGATCCATGTGACTTATGTTACATAACATCTATCTGATCCATGTGACTTATGTTACATAACATCTATATGATCCATGTGACTTAGCTGACATAACATCTATTTGATCCATGTGACTTATGTTACATAACATCTATATGATCCATGTGACTTATGTTACATACCATCTATCTGATCCATGTGCCTTATGTGACATAACATCTATCTGATCCATGTGACTTATGTTACATAACATCTATATGATCCATGTGACTTAGCTGACATAACATCTCTATGATCCATGTGACTTATGTGATGTTAACATCTATATGATCCATGTGACTTATGTGACATAACATCTATCTGATCCATGTGACTTAGCTGACATAACATCTATCTGATCCATGTGACTTATGTGATGTTAACATCTATATGATCCATGTGACTTATGTTACATAACATCTATTTGATCCATGTGACTTATGTTACATAACATCTATTTGATCCATGTGACTTATGTGACATAACATCTATCTGATCCATGTGACTTATGTGATGTTAACATCTATATGATCCATGTGACTTGTGTTACATAACATCTATCTGATCCATGTGACTTATGTTGCATAACATCTATTTGATCCATGTGACTTATGTTACATAACATCTATCTGATCCATGTGACTTAGCTGACATAACATCTATCTGATCCATGTGACTTATGTGATGTTAACATCTATCTGATCCATGTGACTTATGTTGCATAACATCTATATGATCCATGTGACTTATGTGACATAACATCTATCTGATCCATGTGACTTAGCTGACATAACATCTATCTGATCCATGTGACTTATGTGATGTTAACATCTATATGATCCATGTGACTTATGTTACATAACATCTATTTGATCCATGTGACTTATGTTACATAACATCTATTTGATCCATGTGACTTATGTGACATAACATCTATCTGATCCATGTGACTTATGTGATGTTAGCATCTATATGATCCATGTGAATTGTGTTACATAACATCTATCTGATCCATGTGACTTATGTTGCATAACATCTATTTGATCCATGTGACTTATGTGACATAACATCTATCTGATCCATGTGACTTATGTGATGTTAACATCTATCTGATCCATGTGACTTATGTTGCATAACATATATTTGATCCATGTGACTTATGTTACATAACATCTATCTGATCCATGTGACTTATGTTACATAACATCTATATGATCCATGTGACTTAGCTGACATAACATCTATATGATCCATGTGACTTATGTGACATAACATCTCTATGATCCATGTGACTTAGCTGACATAACATCTCTATGATCCATGTTGTCCATGTGACTTATATGACATATGTCATATATAAGATCCATGTGATATATGTGATTTATGCATCAAAGGGTTGGGATTGTAGCCTAATGGTTAAAGTGTTCACTAAGACCTGGGTTCGATTCCCCACGTGGGTACAATGTGTGAAGCCTATTCTTTGTGTGCCCTGCCGTGATATTGAGCATAAAACCCAACTCACTCATTTTCCATTTAAATAAGTCATGACTTTCCTGTGTGTCATATGAAAGGCCCATTGCGTAGATTAATGCTCATGCTGTTGATCACTGGATTGTCTGGTCCAGACTCGATTATTTACAGACTGCCGCGATATAGCTGGAATATTGGTGGGTGCGGCGTAAAACTAAACTCGCTCATTCTTATGAGAGGACACAAAATTAGATAAATCCTTTCAAACAGGCTAAAGTTGTCACTGGTTGTATTATCGTCGACGCAAAAAA